GGTGCTTCAAATTAAACCCAACTATTTCTAAACTGCACCCATGGAGGGAGAAGCTTTCATAAAAAAAAAAAAAAAAAGGCAGCAACAAACAACAAAAAAAAAAGGTCACTCACAGTGCTCAGGGATAAAAAAAGCAAGTGGAAGTCAGCAAGCAGCCATGTGGCAGTGAGACCTGCCTTGAAGCAAGCCTTTAGGGGTTCTGACACACTTCACATGGAGAGAGATTTGCCACCATCTGTGGGCCTGGAAAGCAAAATCCCCTTCAGCTATCCTCTCCTCCTAACCCTACTGCTGCTAAGTGTATTATTAGCTGAGCAGTCTCCGCGTTGCATACAGATGTCTTGGCTGAAAAAGTATCTGGAGTAAAAGCCTGGTTTTCAGTGGGGCTGGGATTGCATTCTTTGAAAATGCTTACAAGCAAATTTCAAAAGCAAAGTAATGCAGAGGACTGAGGAACTCTATTCATCATTAGCTCCTACAACAAGAAAGTGCCTTGGAGAACCCCAGGCTATGGAATTGCCTCATTTATTTATATTGTAGTGGCGGGAGATGCCACCAGAGAAGCAGCCCCACACAGCTGGAGAGCAAAGAGAAAGGGAAAGACAACAGCCCAAGGCAGCTACCGCGCATCCTCCTATTGCAGCAGCTGCTGGCTGTGTGGGAACTACTGTCTGCAGAACTGTTCTCAAAACTTCTCATCGTGCTCATCCAGTGGGGAAGCAATCACTGAAGGCACTCAAATCTTTGGGCCGAACTGATCCAGTCCAGGCAGGACTTGTCCAACGCTGGCTGATGAACATTTGGGGTGACCTGGGAGCCCCACGAACTCTGCACCTGAACTCCCGGAGCTGATGTGCTACCCGTTACATATAGTGCACCCACGGTGTAGAAATGATGTGGCTTTTCTCTTTGGGAGTGTTATTTCTCCTCAGATACATAATTAATTCTTGTGAATTTTAATTGCGGGTGCTGCCAAAATACTGCCTTTCCTCTTCTATCTACCTACAGTGCTTCCAGACGCCCAAATCATAAAATACCTGGATCCTTTTCAGTGTGTTTGTCCTTAACTTACCCCTTCTGGATAGGAAAATATTATTTTTATTTTAAAGGAGAAAAGCTAAAACCAAGAAAACCTAGGAGCCACTTTAACTTCAGCAACAGTGCTACTGTACTTGTATCAGTCTGTGGTTATCAAGTGAGGCAAAGTTTGCAGGGAGAACTGCTGTGACACCAGCAGGGAGCGAGGTTAAAACATGCTTAGGCTGGGAAATTAAGGAATTAGCAGAGAATGATTCACTAATCCAGCACTCAGGTACATCTATGTGTGATGCAACCCAGTAGCACTTTTTCCTTGGCTGTGTGATAAAAGGAAGAATAACCAAAACTCATTTTCCAACATGTTAATACCCAGCAAATGTCTCCTATATCACACTATAGGAAAGGTACAGGCTGATTAAAAAAATTACTGATTTTTAGGTCTTTCAGGGCCATACTCTGCACTGGGATTGAGAGGAGGCATTTTGTGCATCACCTCCTGCACTGAGCTGGGGAGAGTCCTGCCACTTGCACAGTAACAAGTTCTTCAGAAGACTTTTTAAAATAATGCTGCAAATTATATTGTAAACACTCTTTGGGGCAAAAGAGGTTGGTAAGATCATTTAACTAATACTTAAATGAAGGTTTTGTTTCCCAAAACGCTTTTTTTGTATGTGAATGTACAGACTCATCACTCCTAATAATGGAATTACGACGTCAGCTCATTTGGCCAGCCCCTCTCCAAGCCCTTGAACACCAGGACAGGATTCATCTGGGAGCTCTGGTTATTTCCAACATGAGCTCCCTAAGCCTCAAGTCAAGACAACCTGAACATGATTCATCTTATCCTAAAAGAGATGCCTACATTCAGCCAGAATACATCAGAGCTACCTAAAATCAGGTGAAAAAATCTCTCACCAAGTCATTCTCAACCAATATCTATTTGAAACGTGAATCCAAAAGATCTGTCTACCTCTCTGGATTTTAATATTAAAGAATCCATTTCTGTTACGGAATCACAATTACATGTTACAAGTTATACAAGTTGTACAAGATTTGTAGTTATTTTAGCATCGAGGTAACAGAATAACAGGGCAGGGGATTGCAAGGGCAGACCTGCTCGTGAAACCCAGTCCTGTGTTGCAATACCCAACTGCATCGTCCATGCCCTTTCGTAAACGAAGCAAGCTCCATCACAAAGTCAATAAAACACACCTTCCTGCAGCTCTCCTGAAAGGCTGTTCAGTGTCCTCTGATGGTTACAAACTTCCTCTAAAGCCCAAACTTCAATCTCACAGACACTTTATTCTTTGCCAGCTCAAGCCAACCCTCCCTGATGGTTTCTTCTTAGTTGCACCTTCTGCAGCCCTTCCTGGTCTCAACAAGCTAAGATCTTCTCATCGGACGTGGTCACCCTTTTGTGACCTCCATACCTCTCCCGTGGCCCTAACACACTCTCCTCAAATGTGGGTAACTTCACAGGTACTGAATCACACTCCTAGTGGGGAACAAACAGGCTCTGGTCTGGCCCATAATGAATATCTGTGGTCCAGGTTTGCTGCTGGTAGGAATAGCAACTGATACCTACTACCTAGACCAAAACCACAGAGATATAATTTAGAAAGAAAGCATTGATTTAACCTGTGCCCATACACCCACCATAATGAATAGGTGTTCAAAGACAAAACAGTGTTAAGACAGATGCTATTGTTTATCAGCGGAAATCTACCTGCTTACCCTGAGCTGGTCATCAATCTCAGTACTACCATAAGGTGTTCTTAATAAATGACTAATCTATCTGACACATCAAATTACATCTGTGATTAAGCCCCTCTGATCAATACAATTGATAATAGCTTCTAAACAAAGCTTTATTTCCAGACTGTATTGAAACCATGTGTTTCCTTAATTCCACTCATTTAATTAGAAAGGATAATAGATCGGTTGTTAAATCTCAAGTGATTTTCTTTTTGCTAATGGGATGTTGAATGCAGAGAAGGCAATACACATACCTGGTGATAAATCAAGGTATTACATTACAGATGGCAGGGAGTCTTGATTGTTTTCCATTCTACTCCTTTGTGGGACTCAACCATGTTAAAATTATATTTTCCTTGGGAGCCTTTAGCTAAGAGATTTTATGCAGTGATTTCTTTTTTTTAAATCTATTTCTGACAACACTAAGACTCAACAATCTTCATGTCCCTGCTGCCTCCACCCCACAAAGTTCAAAGTTTTATTTTGCAGCTGCACTCAGTTACATTTGTCAAGTTACGTCCCACTACAGAAAAACATCTTTTTTTCTACCTATTTGAGCTCACATGCTGTGCCTTGGACACTCCAAGGGGGAAATGCATGCCATTTAGACATTGAAGCTGCCTGTCCTCATCACTTTCATAGTCTCCCATTTGAGAGACAGAGCATGTGAGAGATTCTGGCTTCTTTCTGTTGATTGCAAAGGCAGTCATGAGTGCTTTCCTAAGGGGCAGGTACTGAGCTCTTAAATGCCTACAGATGTGTCTGGGCAAATGGGCAGCAAACATTTTCCACAGAGTTTGCATTGTAAAACTTGGTTAGACATGCTGTTTGTGTCCCTTTGCACGCTTGTTCCACGTTCATACCATTGATGACTATTTCCACATAGGACAAACAGACACATGCAAATGACATCTAACATTGACTCAGGAGTAGCAGGTATTGTCCCATGGACAAGACCATTTCATAAAGCTCACAGCTATGATTTCTGAATCGGTCCTGTTTAATGACTATGGGAGTGATGGGTGAAATGTAGAATTACCCCAACCAGTTTTTCACCATTCCACTACGAAACCCAAACTCCAAAATATTCTTAGATGTTTTCTACAGCTTAGACATTAATGGCTTGCAATATGACTGAACATGTTTTACATCAGAATCTGCAAGAATACAGTCAACAGTTTACTTCAGTGGAGAAAAAAATACATATATTTTGGATTAAACTTTTCATTGAGGAAATCAGAAAAAATATTAATGCTTAAGTATTTATTCATCCATTTTGAATGTACTGTATTTAATTGAATTTATCTAGATGTCCATGAAAATGAACATTTTGTCCATGAAATAAAGCATTTACCTGGCTTTCAAGTGAAGGTTTTAAACTACCCTGACGACTCCCTTCTTTACTGGATTCTAGGAGAACATTTCTTCAAACAGCTCCATTTAACTGTACAGGGATGCTTGAAATAGTTTCCAAATCAAAGGAAAACATATCTCAGTAGATAAAAGCAGGGGCCAAAAGCCATCCTTGCATTCAGTAAAGCTCCCCTAGGGACCAGCTTGGCACAAGGATGCTGTTCTATCATTAATAAGCATTGTGCACAACAGCCCTTCAGTCTGCAGCCTATTTAAAAACAATGCCAAGTGAAAGAGGATGAGACGACATCCTCTTTCAATTCTTCCTCTTTCAAGATGTGCGATGCAAATTTCAAGCAGAATATGCAACTTCCCACCCCTTTCCCTGATCTGATCACTCATTTTCAGAACCTGACAGTCTTCCATGGGTCCCTACACCTCCATTAAACACAAAACCAGACCTGGCATGTGAACGAGGAGAGGACCTGCAGCTATTTGGCCAGACCTGAGTCCCCTTTCAGCCTTGGAGCACACCCTTCCTTCTTCTGCTCTGCCCCCAGGACAGAAGCAATTTTGGCTGATGTATGGGAGGAAATTACAGTGGCAGGGCTCACTCAGCTGGGAGACTGGGGGTGACCCTCATCAAGCTATTCAAACACTTGGTTGATGGAATTATGCTTTGGAAATACCTTTTTCTCTTTATATACTAACATAAGAACTCAATACCAGCTGGAGAGAATCCAGTCACTGACCTGCTCCTGCCGAGGAAGGATTGAGAAATGGCAGTGATAAGGTAGATGTGAGGCCAGGGATGTCAGCCTGCAGGCCACGGAGAGAAGAGGGTGGTCCCTTACCTGAGGTCTGATTATCCATAGCGATCTCTGCCAAGCACTGGCTGCGTTCCTCTTCAATCTCCAGAATGATGCTGCACTCTGGACGTGTGCTGGACACCTACAGAAAGGGCAGAGAAAAGGAGAGTGAGCAAAACCCATCTGTACTCAGGGACGTGTTCCTAGGGATTCACGGCCAGCCAAGCTCTCCTGAGCCACAGCACAATGGGGATATGCATCCAGTCTCATTTTATGTTTGTTTTAGAGAAGGGGGTGTAAACCAGTGCCTACTGAAAAAAATGCATTTCCCTCCATGCCTTCTTTAAAAAAAAATCTAAATGTTACTTTTTATTTTTAATTTTTTTATTTTTATTTTTTATTTATTTTTTGATTATCAGGAGGAATTCCATTCCCTTATGCTCCAGGAGCTCTGCCTGACTAGCCTAACACTGACAGCTATCTAGGGCAGGAAGATGGCAGCTTTAAAATTCATGCCAAGAGCAGTGGGATCTGTGCTTACATAGTTTATTCCCTCCATTCTCACATGGCCTGCCTCCTGGCTTATGCTAATTCAAAGCAAAACAAAACCCAAATCAAATAAGAACAAAATCTCAGATGCAGACTGGGAGATCAAGGAGCTAAAAAGCAGAAAATTCCCAGTAACATGACTTTTTTTTCCCCCAAGTGGTTTCTGCTAAGTCGGATCTAATTATATTGTTTTTGTAATAAAGCCATGTCTATAGATGCACAGGTAATTAATCATGGCCTCTTACATCATGAATTTCATGAACTGCTTCAAGTATGTATCATGACAATTTGCTTCCAAAAAATGGAACCAGGAGCCGGAGAGGGGACCCACAGCACAACCCTGCTAATGTTCCCAACATGCTCCCAGTTTGGAGGGAGCACCCCACTTCATTGCTTTGGCAAAGGCAAGCTGAAATCCAGGTCCCATTATGCAAGGCACCACAGAAAACCAAACACAAAGCCCAGTCTCTTTCAAAGAGACGGCAAACTGCATTGAGCTGGGAGAAACCTATTGAGCTGCAGAGAGATGGTGAGGGGGAAATGATGCGGAGAGAGCAGAAGTCTTGGCCTAAGTCTGTGCAGTCACTGCTAAATGCAGAAAAGACCCTGAGTTGGTAACAGATTTGAGAGGCAGGGTTAGAGCCTGTCCTCATTAAAACTCATTGATTCAGTGTTCACTGTTGGTGATTATATTTATTTATTTATGTATTTATTTTTATTTTTTTTCTGAAAATAAGCAGAGAAAGGAAGGAAAGAACTTTTCACGTCTCATTTCAAAACATGAGCTACTTCCCTACTCATTCTCTAGCCAAGGCTAGAAACCAGAAGATTCAGAAACCCTCTGAAGGAACAATTATTTGATGTAATTTGCCCTTTGGATTGAAATTATAAGAAAATTGAATGTATTAATTTTTATTCTCACCATCTCTTATTAATCCAACCATCTCTCTTCCCTCTTCCACCTCATCTCTTGCTCAGACTGTAGTTTCCTTTTGGTGGGGAACGGGCCTTGATTAGTAGTGTATAGACAATTAATTGTGGTTTTCCAATGAAATTAAAACAACAGCAACAAAAACAACATGGTGTGGGAGACTTATTTGGAGTTGTCTTGGTACTCAAATATTTTTTTTTTTTTTCCAAGGGAAAACAGTACTTTGGAATTTTTATCCTGTCTCATTTAAAATATTGTAAGTTCTTTTTGTTTTAATTTACAGCACTTCTTGCCTTTTTTTTTAACTGTAAATAAAATGCACAAAGGGTTTGCTGTAAAATACAAAGATTGAGATGTTCTGCTCTCAGAACATTCTGACTTTTTCAAGGGAAACTTAAAACTCTCTGGACTTAACCTATTGCCAAATTCATCTCACATTTATAAATAATTTGAGTTTTCACTTTATAAATTAATTCATCCATCTCTAACTTTGATCGGGGTTGGCAAAGTGTTATGTACTCTTACAACACATTTTTCTAATTTTTTATGCAGCGAATTTTCTGCTGAGCCCATTAGCAAGTACTTCACCACCATATCTTTCCTGCACTAAAAATGCATGCCTAAATTGGTTGATTGCATATTTACTCCCACTACCTGATATTTACTTTTGAGCAAATGTTCCATCACCTTTCAAAAAAAGCAGAGCCAATACATTGTTAGTAGTTTCAGAAGTGGGCTTGTGATAGATTCAGGGAAATTTGTCTACAGATATTTTTTTTTTTAAATCTTGTCTTTTTCCATCCAGTCCTAGAGGAAATAAATCTATGTTAATCACAGTTGATCTGGCTTACATAGTGCTGGTGTGAGCTTTTAAGCAAGGTGGATGCCTCTAATGACTTGAGGAGTACTTAGGTGCCTGGTCCCCACTGGTTTTAAGCAGAGCAGGGCACTGCTCTGGCACTGAGGTAGGATTTATATGATGATACCCCAGGGTAGCCCTCCTTGCCAGCATCTTTCCCTCCAGGAGCGTGTGGCCCCTCGTAGAACATATATTGGATCAACACCACCCAGATGCCACATAGATACAATAAGCTTCCTAAAATAGCACAAGATACCTTTTATTTTTAGAGTATTTCACCTTCTTTCTCATTGGGACACATCTTCCCTTCTCTTAGTTGGGTAAAAGCAATGTGTTTAGTATGAACTGATTTTTACTATTCCTTCTAGTCCACAGAGACCTTGAAGTCCACATCAGCCCTGAAGGTTTTCATGTCCCTTTGCTGACTGGAGTTGGACCAGTTCAGACTAAAATACCTACTATTTAGCTGGAGAAGGCCAGTGATGTGTGAATTTAGTGTCTAAAAGACCTTAAACTGAATCATCAAGGTCAAACAGACTCACATTTGAAGCCTTCTAGTTTACAGCTCACTCTCTACATTCACTAAATAAGGAAATAAATAATTGCAGCAATCCTACTTCTACCTCCCCAGTGATAACACAGCCCTCACATATCACAGCTGTCATTGCTATGGGCTAACAAAGACTGCAGAAGAAGAAGAAAAAATTATTTTGGACACCAATAGGAAAGAGAAAAGCATTTTTTTTTATATATTTTTTTATTTTTTTAGTAGGTCATCAGTTCAGCTGGCCTGGTGGTGAACAGGGTGACAAGTTCAGTTGCCTGAATTTGTTTCCCAGTTGACAAACTGCTTATGACTGCAAAGATCCCACAAGAGCTGGGAGTCTTGCCTGCTAAAATGTACCTTCCCTGAGACCAGAGTTTAAATAACTCTCCTTTCTTGGTGTACTGCTCCCAGAAGGGAATGAAGTAGACTTTATAGATAGCTTGGTATGAACTCACTTCATTGCTTCCACAGCTTGGTCTTTTTTTTTTTTTTTTCTTTTTTTTTTTTTTTCCTCCCTGTGGAGAAGGCAGAGATTTGGGATTTTGGCATCTTTCACAGCAGAGGGGAACTGGCCAACTGGCCACACAGACACAGGGCTAAGGGCTGCACCAATTCACATTTCCCACACAAAAAGTGTAGAGAAAGGGAAAGCATGAACATAGCTTAGGTTAGATCACATTAACATTAGCCAGTGAACAATAATTCTTTTTCCCTGGCATGTCCATCATGGATGTGTAGCTAGCTCAAGCCCAGTACACCCTCCCTTCCTAAATGCCCTCATGGAAAGGATGAGTTACCATGTAAAAATGGTGGTGGATTTGTCGGGGCCATTTTCCCAGTACACACACTGAAGCCCTGAGCAGAATGATGAAGGGAAGTTTTTTTTTCTGGATGTGATTTACTTTAGCTCTGAATTGTGCAGCAACTCCCATGTGGAATTATCCCCAAAGTCTTTATTAATGAGAGCTTTCCTTCCCGTGGGATCTCAACAATTGTTAGAGGATTAGTGAGCAGTCTGGTAATGCTAAGAAAGCCATTGTGTACACTCTTTTAATTAAATACAATCTAAAGGATTGTCATTGACTGAAGGAGCCACAGAAATATTCAGTTTCATCTATGTTGTCATTGGCAGGGCCAGGCTAGCCATGCAGCAACTCCTCAAAGGCAGGTAGGATTCACAGCAAAGCCACAGCTACAGGTAAACAGGAATAGGGGCTCACAAGAAGTAACATGGGACCCAGCACCTCCTTTTCTCCTGATCTCAGAGTGTCACCTGGAGAATCCAGCAGAGACGGTGACTGGAGTGACCGCAGTGACAACAGCATTTCAAGGCAAACAAGGGAGGGGTAGAACAGGAAAGCTTACAGAAGATGAAACCACATCCCTCACCCATTTCTGCTCAGTTCCCAGAGGTTGTACAATAGTGACACATTTTTCTGAGTGGTCTGAATGAAGAGACCTTCACAGAAGCTATGGGGAGGCAGTAAATGTATTAGACAAGAGCCTCTCAGCTGCCTCGGTTTCTGTAACACAACTTCACAGTCACTGCTTGAGGCAGTGTTGAGGTTTCTCAAGCTTTTTTTTTTATGTGGACAGCAAAGGAAATGAAAGATTTTAGCAGGTAGGTCTTATTCTAAGCCTCAGCAACATAGCCCTAGAGAGCTCGAGCTATGCCAGAAGAGCTTACCGCTAGCTTCAGCCCAGAGACTTTCATTTACGCTTATTATTTGTAGGAACACAGGACTGAGGGAATTTCTTATGCAACAGTCTTGGCTCTGATTTCTTCCATAACTTCATTCAGCTCTGTCTTAAAACTAGATTTACAGTTTCTTCCTTTTGAACATCCTCAGGAAAATAGAGTTTTATTCATAACAACCCTTTCAGTTAGCCAAAAAAATACTGTGTGTAGTTCAAGTGCAAGAATGAGCAAAGAGAGTGGACCCACAGAACATACTAACAAAGGTTTTCTATCTGTAGTGATGGATAACACATTTTTGAACACTGTCAAACCTAAGAGCTTCATAAGCTCTGGTGGTCTTGAGGGAAAAAAAAAAGTTATAAATTATTTATGAAGTATTACCACTGTTTGCTCTTCTGAACTTTGTCTAAGAATCAAGTGCACAGTACAAATATCATGTCAGCAAGGGGAAGTAAGTGTTACATACCAGCACTACAGACAAAAAGAGAGATAAGACCAAGCTCAAAACATACAAAGCACTCTGTGTGGCCTTCATAGGGTCAATAAGGAAACTACAG